TTTTTTCCGAATAAACTTCAGAAACCTTTCTTCTTTTTAAATGATCTTTCTCTTCAAAGAACATTTAGAGGTAACTAGATTCCAAAAGGCCTTCTGTATCTGTAAGTTTCGGATGGTGTTATGGCCACATTGGGCCCATTGTGCGCCTTCACAAGAGGAGAGCTCATCATCCAGCCTAGCAATTCCACGTAGGTGATGACGACGCCTCTGATCTCTTCTAGCGATGGGTATGATTGACCTTAACTGGCTCTGCGTATTGGCGAAAGAGCAGTGCAGTCAGAGAGCCTTGGGTAGGTATATCAGCGCCAAGGACGCCCTGAACATCCCTACCAAGTTCAGACCCCACTGAAGTAGGGCTGGATATATGCCGTCAGGTCCTGTTGCTTTGAATCCGGAGAAGCCTGAAATTGCCCAACCTATTATTTCCTCGTATATTATCTGATTCCTAGTTACCAATCAGCCACGGAGGGTATGCATGTTATCTGCGTCTGATCCTCTACAATTGTGGTTGTGGAGTTAGGAAAGTGGGTTGCTAAAATAACTCTGTGCTTTCTTGAAGGTTGGCAGTGAAGGTGCCATTCTCCTTGCACAGGATACCAATTTCCTAAAATGGGTCTTTATTAAAAGCTTTTTGAAATCTCGCCTCCTTCGTATAGTTTTCTATTTCGTTGCAGTATGTCCTCCAGGCATCTCTTTGTTTTTGTCATACTAGTTGAGTTGTTACCTACATATGAAGGTTCCAATCCTCCGGTAGTTTGGTGTTTTTAGATTTATTGTCACCCTGAGGTGTTCCAGTTCCTGACACCACCAAGCAGAAGTGTTACCAGAGTTTTGATATTAATACTGAGCATAGTGTACAAGAACCAAAAAGCTTTAAGAAACATTTAAAATTATATCATCCAAGTGAACCATCATTTTAGGCTGAAGATCTGCACCTAATACGTTGAAAAGTAATAGGTGCGTTGGTGAATCCAAAAGGCATCCTAAGAAATTGGAATAATCCCATTCCAGGCACAGTGAGTTCACGAGATTCCTTACTAAGTGGAAGTTGGTAGAGTGGTTTCAATCCTCAGGTACTTGGGTGTTTTTAGCTTTATTGAAAGCTTTTCTTGTCGTCGCCCAAAGATGTTCCAATTCCTGAAACCACCACGCACATGTGTTATTAGAGTTTTGGAACATCCTCAGTGGGCTCGACATCTCATAGGATTTTAGGATTGTATTTTCATACCGCTGCAATTCTTGGTCACCATTGGGTATTTTAACTGCAACCTCTTGTAGAGTCCTTTCCAGACCTTGCGCGTACTGTACAATATTGGTTTTCTTTGGGTCACAATAAGATTTTGTGGTTTTCAGCGAGCAGTTTAATGTGAAAGTTATCGATCGGTGATTCGACATGATAACCTCGTCAGATACGCGCCAATTATGGATTAATTTGATATTTATACTGAGCATAGTGTGCAAGAACTAAAAAGCTTTAAGAAACATTTAAAATTATATCATCCAAGTGAACCATCATTTTAGGCTGAAAATCTGCACCTAATACGTTGAAAAGTAACAGGTGCGTTGGTCAATCCAAAAGGCATCCTAAGAAATTGGAATAATCCCATTCCAGGCACAGTGAGTTCACGAGAATCCTTACTAACTGGAACTTAGTAGAGTGGTTTCGATCCGCAGGTACTTTGGTGTTTTTAGTTATTGAAAGCTTCTCTTGTCGTCGCCCTAAGATGTTCCAATTCCTGAAACCACCAAGCACATGTGTTATTAGAGTTTTGGAACATCCTCAGTGGGCTCGACATTTCATAGGATTTTAGGATTGTATTGTCATACCGCTGCAATTCTTGGTCATCATTGGGTGTTTTAAATGCAACCTCTCGTAGAGTCCTTTCCAGACCTTGCACGTACTGTACAATATTGGTTTTCTTTGGGTCACAATAAGATTTTGTGGTTTTCAGCGAGCAGTTTAATGTGAAAGTTATCGATCGGTGATCCGACATGATAACCTCGTCAGATACGCGCCAATTATGGTTTGAATTTGATATTAATACTGAGCATAGTGTGCAAGAACTAAAAAGCTTTAAGAAACATTTAAAATTATATCATCCAAGTGAACCATCATTTTAGGCTGAAAATCTGCACCTAATACGTTGAAAAGTAACAGGTGCGTTGGTCAATCCAAAAGGCATCCTAAGAAATTGGAATAATCCCATTCCAGGCACAGTGAGTTCACGAGATTCCTTACTAAGTGGAAGTTGGTAGAGTGGTTTCAATCCTCAGGTACTTGGGTGTTTTTAGCTTTATTGAAAGCTTTTCTTGTCGTCGCCCAAAGATGTTCCAATTCCTGAAACCACCACGCACATGTGTTATTAGAGTTTTGGAACATCCTCAGTGGGCTCGACATCTCATAGGATTTTAGGATTGTATTTTCATACCGCTGCAATTCTTGGTCACCATTGGGTATTTTAACTGCAACCTCTTGTAGAGTCCTTTCCAGACCTTGCGCGTACTGTACAATATTGGTTTTCTTTGGGTCACAATAAGATTTTGTGGTTTTCAGCGAGCAGTTTAATGTGAAAGTTATCGATCGGTGATTCGACATGATAACCTCGTCAGATACGCGCCAATTATGGATTAATTTGATATTTATACTGAGCATAGTGTGCAAGAACTAAAAAGCTTTAAGAAACATTTAAAATTATATCATCCAAGTGAACCATCATTTTAGGCTGAAAATCTGCACCTAATACGTTGAAAAGTAACAGGTGCGTTGGTCAATCCAAAAGGCATCCTAAGAAATTGGAATAATCCCATTCCAGGCACAGTGAGTTCACGAGAATCCTTACTAACTGGAACTTAGTAGAGTGGTTTCGATCCGCAGGTACTTTGGTGTTTTTAGTTATTGAAAGCTTCTCTTGTCGTCGCCCTAAGATGTTCCAATTCCTGAAACCACCAAGCACATGTGTTATTAGAGTTTTGGAACATCCTCAGTGGGCTCGACATTTCATAGGATTTTAGGATTGTATTGTCATACCGCTGCAATTCTTGGTCATCATTGGGTGTTTTAAATGCAACCTCTCGTAGAGTCCTTTCCAGACCTTGCACGTACTGTACAATATTGGTTTTCTTTGGGTCACAATAAGATTTTGTGGTTTTCAGCGAGCAGTTTAATGTGAAAGTTATCGATCGGTGATCCGACATGATAACCTCGTCAGATACGCGCCAATTATGGTTTGAATTTGATATTAATACTGAGCATAGTGTGCAAGAACTAAAAAGCTTTAAGAAACATTTAAAATTATATCATCCAAGTGAACCATCATTTTAGGCTGAAAATCTGCACCTAATACGTTGAAAAGTAACAGGTGCGTTGGTCAATCCAAAAGGCATCCTAAGAAATTGGAATAATCCCATTCCAGGCACAGTGAGTTCACGAGATTCCTTACTAACTGGAACTTAGTAGAGTGGTTTCGATCCGCAGGTACTTTAGTGTTTTTAGCTTTATTGAAAGCTTCTCTTGTCGTCGCCCTAAGATGTTCCAATTCCTGAAACCACCAAGCAGATGTGTTATTAGAGTTTTGGAACATCCTCAGTGGGCTCGACATTTCATAGGATTTTAGGATTGTATTGTCATACCGCTGTAATTCTTGGTCATCATTGGGTGTTTTAAATGCAACCTCTCGTAGAGTCCTTTCCAGACCTTGCACGTACTATACAATATTGGTTTTCTTTGGGTCATAATAAGATTTTGTGGTTTTCAGCGAGCAGTTTAATGTGAAAGTTATCGATCGGTGATCCGACATGATAACCTCGTCAGATACGCGCCAATTATGGATTAATTTGATATTAATACTGAGCATAGTGTGCAAGAACTAAAAAGCTTTAAGAAACATTTAAAATTATATCATCCAAGTGAACCATCATTTTAGGCTGAAGATCTGCACCTAATACGTTGAAAAGTAACAGGTGCGTTGGTCAATCCAAAAGGCATCCTGAAAAATTTGAATAATACCCTGCCAGGCACAGTGAGTTCACGAGATTCCTTACTAACTGGAACTTAGTAGAGTGGTTTCGATCCGCAGGTACTTTGGTGTTTTTAGCGTTATTGAAAGCTTCTCTTGTCGTCGCCCTAAGATGTTCCAATTCCTGAAACCACCAAGCAGATGTGTTATTAGAGTTTTGGAACTTCCTCAGTGGGATTTTAGGATTGTACTGTCATACCGCTCCAATTCTTGTTCATCATTGGGTACTTTAACTGCAACCTCTCGTAGAGTCCTTTCCAGACCTTGCATGTACTGTTCAATACTGGTTTTTCTTGGGTCATGATAAGGTCTTATGGTTTCCGGCGAGCAGTTTAATGTGACAGTTATCGATCGGTAATCCGACATAAAAACCTCATCAGATATGCGCCAATTATGGATTGAATTTGATATTAATACATAGTGTTATGATCGTATTTCCTTCCTTCTTTGGAGATTAAATACCCAGAGACGCTAATATAAAAATCTCCAGCCTCTAGCCTTGTTAACTATTAATTCCAAACCACAAACACCCAACCATGATACGATTCGAGGTCTAACAAAGGCTCTGTAGCTTAAATTACCGCCTTGTACACAATTATTCATAGTCAAAAGCTCGCATTTAACCAATAATATAATGGCACGAAAGTCATATTCTCACGTACAACGCGGGATAACAGCCAAATTTACGGCCGGTGCATTAACAAACATGGAAACGCGTTAAAGTTTCAGAAACCGCGCCCGTCTTATTCTGGATTCGGGATGCGACTTGCACGCGGGCACGTGCGTTGAAATTTTGAAGAATGATTTATAAAATGAAAAGTTGTTTTCGAGCCATTGCAATCTTAATCTTGCTACACTTTTAACGTAATTCCAGTAATTAAATAGAGTGTTTCGTCTATTTATCCGGAAGACACAGTAGAGGATTTCTGAGTAATAAAACTGGACAAGTTTTCTTGTTGGTAATTATTTATCCGGGATTTAGTTTTACTTGTTACTTTCCAACAAATGAAATTGAGTTTAAGGTTTAACTGAACTTTATTTAATTAAGTAATTAATAAATACATCTTACACTAATTAATACAAAATTACTTCTTCTTGAGTTCCTCATCGATTTCATCGACGGAAGCTTTGAATCGTTGCCATTGCTCGGTGGTAAGCATGATGCCTTTTTTGCCAGGCTTCAAGCTACCGTCGGCATTGTAGAATTCTCTGATGTTGATGTAGGTTTTGCCTTTGAAGTCGGACAGTTTGACGAAACGGTTTTTGCCCAAGTCCCACGTCGGTTCGCTGTCTTCGGTGCGGTAGCTGTCGTCGGATTTGGCTTTTTTCTTGATTGGTTCTTTCTGGAAAGAAAAATAATTTGCCTGTAGAAATTTCAGATGGTGATCTATACGTGAGGACGATGAGACACAATTATTGAAAATATTTTTTTTAACAGGGTTTTTCATTTTTTTCAGTACTCAAACCAATTGGCTAATAGACCAATTTCACGTGCCAAGCAATTGGCAAATTATGATATTTTTAAACGCAGATACATTAATGCAACCGAGAATGAACAAGAATGATATTATCACATTACTAGTGTAGAAAGTGACAAATTTCACACGAATGTATGAAAGACGCTTTCTGACAAGTGATGTACACCTGCGACCAGAAACAAATTTACACCAATTTTCTCTTATTTTATTTTTATTTTTTCATTTTCAACACACGTGCTGAAAGTACTTTCAATACACGTATTGAAAGTAAATTGTGATGTCAAATGTCAATCATAAATAATGTCAACAGTATTTTCCACACGTGTGCTGAAAGTACTTTAAGCACGCGTATTGAAAAAAATAAAATAGTAAAATAGCACAAAAAAGCACGTGACTGAAAACGCCCTCTCATTGGTTTAAGCCGATATTCGTGCGCTTTGTTGCCTAATTAGAGATATGCGAAATTTCCATTGACCCACTGCATGATTAGTGAATGCCACGTTTTTTCCTATTACGTAAAACAAACTGAATATACAAGTTTGGCAACGCAACTTCTTACATGTGAAGATTCTCAATACCCATTGTGTTTATATGATCAGGGGTGCGATTTTCGAAACCATTCGAGCACATTTCATACACGAAATTTGACTGACAGCAATGTAAATTAAATGAGGAGCATTCGAAATAGTATCAAACTTCGTATGCGAGAATATTCGAAAATACAACCCCAGTTGGGACCCCCTAAATTCCATACAGTTAAAAATCTGAGATTTGAAGAAGAAATCTATGAAAAAAGGCACCCAGAAAATTGAAAATAACTAAGCTTTACTTAACTATGAAGCCCTTAAAAGTTAAGGGACACTCAAATATGATTTCGTTCCACCATAATTTTCAAGTGCAAGCTTCGCTAAGTGTCGTAAAGCTTTGGCAACATTGCATTTCAGGTGAAATATTAGCGTACTTTTCGTTTTTACACTTGTCGTGTCAATGTTATCTGTCATTCGTCGCTTCCCGCTAATTTTTATAAGATTATAATTATTAATAGATAGTTGTTGTTGTTGTCCGGGTTCGGTTTATTCCACAGAGAAGAGGTTTAGATATTGGTGGTTTATCCTGCATTGTGTCTGAACGAGCACGAAGGTGCCTAGAGCAGCGTGGAGTCGGGGAATAGAAACAACCAGGGAGAGTTTATCCAAAAAAAGCCGGACACCAAACTATACAATAAAGGAAAAAGAACTGATAATATCGCTAACATCAACAAATAAGAACATGATCGAAAATAAAAAAAGCACGGAGTATCTCTGGCCGAAAAAAATAGGCTTTGGGAGAAAAAACGCGAACTATACCAGAAATTAGAAAACTGAGAAAATTCTAATTTTATCTCAATCCAATTTCAACGTTTGTTATGTCAACAAAAACATATTATACAAATGGCTTGCGCTTATCATCGCCACTTTGTTAAGGGAGGAATAAGCGTAGACATTTTTGGGCTTAGTTAAGCTTATCTTAATGAGACTAGGTTAGACTGGTGGAAAAGAAATTATAATATACGCGGCACTTAACGTTAAGTAAACTTAAATTTGCGTTGGTGGAAACGGCCATGTGAATGATGCTTTGGGATCCCCCATACTCCATACACTAAATTTAGTTTAACATAATCAAGGAATATACACACTATTACTACAGGATAGCCTATTCTCATAGAGCCTGTGTACAAATCTGAAGCCCCCACCACGTCAAATCACCAGTTGTGACGTAGACAACATGTCGTTTCTAGCCTTGACGTAGACTGTTTGCACCACAGGTTAGGATCCCCCTGTGCAGTAATGTGTATTTATTATCCTTATCCAAAAACTGTCATAACATCATAGTTTGTAAATCGAATACGAATGGTTCCGTTTTAGTTCACTTTGGTCATAAAATTTTATAAAACGAGAATGCCTGAAGATTAATTCAATTGGGCACTAGCTGACGTCACACACAACTTCACATTTAACTGTCGATGGGGGGACAAACAAAATGTTTGAAGGTCTATTTTTAGAGAGGTTATGCGTGTGACGTCACCTAGTGCCCTATCCAGAAGCGTTCAAATTTCGTATTGAATTTAGGCAATATTCAAACAAAACGTTCTTCAGACGCGCCTTTTGACAGATTTAATAAATGACTTCTGGTTTTTAAGAATGACGGTTTATGACGTCATTAATTTGTTTCAGTTAATTTCTATTTGTTTAAAAAGGAAGGCAAATGATGATGTAAATGCAAACCTTGTTGAAACGAATTTTATCTCAATTCTGATCAAAGACTATAGGTAATGAGATGTGATATAACGATTTTTATTTTTAGTACATTTAACGTATATTCTTATCTTTCTTTAATTGTTGTTCAAAGACAAAGATACAACATAGCACCTGTGAAAGCACGATGAAATCTGAACGCTTCTCTGACAATGGAATACAAAGATCTATAAACCTAGCAGACCCAAGGTGAAAAAAAAAACTTCGGGAACTATATAATAATTAGGTGCTAATTAGGGCCTTTAATTAAAAATTAGGTGCTCCTTTAGTTTTTAAGAAAATCAAGGGATTGTTAGGTTTATAGAAGCTAGCAGTCCCCTATGGTAAAAAATATTTTTTCAAATTTTTTCTTTGTATCAGAATTAGGTGCTTTTTAGGTGCTCCTAAATGGTCCAAGAAAAAATAGAATTGAATAATTATTAACTGAGTTACAGATTTTTTTTTAATAATTAGGGGACTGCTGGCTTTACGTTTAGTTGTTGGTGTGTCAGAATGGCAAAAAAACTTCGGGATCTATATAATAATTAGGTGCTTTTTAGGTGCTAATGAGGGCCTCTAATTAAAAATTAGGTGCTCCTCTAGTTTTTGAGAAAATCAAAAAAAACTAAGGGACTGCTAGGGTTTATGAAAGCTAGCAGTCCCCTAATAATTAAAAAAAAAATCTGTAACTCAGTTAATAATTAATCAATTCTATTCTTTCTTCGACTATTTAGGATCGCCTAAAAAGCACCTAATTCTGATACAAAAGAAAAATTTTAAAAAATATTTTTTACTATAGGGGACTTCTAGCTTTTATAAACCTATCAGTCTCTTAGTTTTTTTTGATTTTCTCAAAAACTAAGGGAGCACCTAATTTTTAATTAGAGGCCCTAATTAGCACCTTGAAAGCACCTAATTATTATATAGATCCCGAAGTTTTTTTCCACCATGGGACTGCTAGGTTTATAGACCTGGAATACAAACAAACGGATGTTACAAAGTTTTGACTAGGAAAATTCATATGAGCTAGACAAAAATAGGTAATTCGATTCACAATTCGATTCACGTCGGACACGAGATAAGAATTGAATCAAAATAATATGTATGGGTTATATTACGTGCGGAGGTGGCAAGTGTTTCATTATTGTCGAGAGATACTATGGTTGACCGAGGTGCGAAGCGCCGAGGACAACCAATTCTCGAGACAATAATGTGAAAACTTTCCACCGAATTATGTATACTATTTTATTTTGAACCATTAATTATTGAAAAAAATAAGGTAAAAATATGACAAAAATGGTATTTCAACTGACAATCTGACACCGACATTGATATCTTATGAAATTTCAACAATCTTAGAGCAGGTAAAGGTAAAGAGTAGTAACCTGGATTTGGAAAATGAAGCCGTTTTTTTCCAGGTATTTTGGCACCAAGAAAATGGCGCTTATGGCAATTCAATGCTTTACCTGTATCTTGGTGCCAAACACCTGCCAAAAATTTGGCTTCACTTTAGTTTCATAAGCAGAATGGTGCGTTCCTACTCCTTATGTCCGTAGGATAGCGCTTTCCTGCTCTAAGTCAACAATACAAACACATGTGACATCTACTTCCAAATACAAACATTGCACCTAGATTTGTGTTTAGGTGTGAAAGAACAATTTCATCAGGCCGAAAGTGACAGGAGAACTATCACTTTCGCCCTGCTTTGAAGTAAACAAAAGTAAAGTGACATTTTCGAACCTTCAAATCATTAAGCGCCGGTATTATAAAACACTGAACCGATGGTTGAGTTTCAACCAACCTTCGGTTGAATCCTATCAATTTGCATGGAGTCAACCGAAGGTTGAAACTCAACCATCGGTTCACTGTTTTATAATACCGGCCATAAGAAATGTGAAAATTACATGAGGGTTCATACTTTTGACAAAATTTGCCTTCCTTTTTTAACAAATAGTTATTGACTGAAACAATAACGTCAAAAACGTCCGTCGGTTCTTGAACCAGAAGTCATTCATTTCAATTTGTCAAAAAAATTGAATGTGTCAAATGAATTAATCTACGACAACCCTTTTTTTCAAGTTATGACGTGTTCGATAACAAAAGTATGAACCCTCGAGAAACGAACCTTACTTAATGTCATGTTATGGAATGATCTACTTATAAGAAATTCGGCAACCTTGCATTGTTGGGACTATGACTTCACAGTCCTAGTTCGCGTTTCCGAACACATAAAAATAATTTTTTGAAAAATGTGAAAGTGGCCCATTAGTAATATTACTCTAAATTAAATATAGCGCCGTGGGAATATTACACCTGACAAGACAACTGTAAAGGCACGTTTACATTCAATTCCAATTGATTGCAAAAGCCCACGGAATCATAACCTGAGGTGCAAACAATGGTCAAGGCGAGAAACGACACGCTGCTTACGTCATCACTGGTTCTTTGGCTCGGGGGGGGTTTGAGAGTTGATCTACATAAGCCTCAAAGTCTGTTTTTTTTTTTAAAGATAATTCCCCAAGTCAAAAATTTAGTAACTATGTTGGCAACACAAGCCTTTTCTACATAAAAAAATTGAAAGCATTGACAATTTTACATTGTATTGCCAACATAATGTCATTTTGACTTTTATCTAAAAAAAAAAAAAAACAGATTTTATGTGCAGTGGGTTGCAGTGTAACCAGGTTGTATTGTTGCAAAACAAAATGTAGACATTATACCCATTAAAAAAGTGTATAAGAAAGTGTTTTACAATGTCTTAAATCAGACAAAAGAAAAGCTTTAAAGTGTCTGTTAACATCGCTTGGACTTTTATTTCGATAAATGTTCCATCTGGCAACATCGCAGCATGAAAGTGAAAAAGAATAGGTATGTTAAATATCAGAAGTAATAAAGTGAGGCATTAGTTCGCTCTTTGTCGAATTACATGTTACAAAGAAAGAAAAAACGATCACTACAAGGGTGCGTTCGAAATCACCCTGGGCGTCACACCGAGTGCACACCAGCAATGGATTATTCATGGCTGGTGTGCACTCGGTGTGATGCCCATGGTGATTTCGAACGCACTCCTGAACTTGCTCCTGAATGCCAATATGACGCGAGCATGTGGCAAACTTGCTTCTCATTGGACGCTCAACTGTAACCCACTAATTGCGCGGGCAGTCAATGTAGAAAAAAAAGATATAGTTCGTTTCACAAGGGTTCGTACTTACGGCATTGATGACGTCATAACTTGGAAAAAAAGGATCGTAGATTAAATTCATATACAGTGTGTATATTTTTAGTGATACCACTATGGCTATATCCCAAATGGTAAGAGCTACAACGTCGGTTAAATTGGAAAAAAATTGCATTTTTTGATGCCCATTTAAGATTCTTTCACAGTGCTGGCAAATTGCTTTTAGTTTCTGGAATACAGGTTCATAACTAGGGCCGAATTAAGGTAAAATTTTGGTCAAAATCACTGATGATCATTTTTTAGATCCGAAACGTCGCCCAATCATACTCAAAAGGTATATCCTTGAAAAGGGGATAAAGGGTGCTTTCTGAAAATGACATAAAAAATTCAGGTCCGTATTTAAAAATATGAAGTTGATGATGGTAGCTCAATCACGAAACGTCGGATTCAAAATTTGAAGATGCCATATTGTAGAGCAAAAAAAATTATAAAACTTTCAAGTTTGAATTGTGTTCCGAAAATTAATAGTTCTCGAAATAATTGATGAAATATTTTTAGGCATTTCTTAGAAATCACCCTGTATTTCATAAACTAAAAGGAATTTGGCAACACTGTAAATGAGTCTTGAATGGGCATCAAAAAAGGCAACTTTTCTCTAATTTAACCGACCTTGTAACTTTCACTGTTTCGGATATAGCAATAGTGGTATCACTTAAAATATACACCCTGTATGTATAAATTCACTATCGCTCAAATTTTGTATTTCATTTAGGCAAATGACTTCTGGTTTTGAGAATTGACAAAGGTTTATGATGACGTCATTATTAATATGTTAGTCAATTTTTATTTATTAAAAAGGAAGGCAAATGATGACCCAAGTGCAAACCCCAGGATGAAACGAACTTTACCTCAATTCTGGTCAAAGACTATAGGTAGTGAGATGTGGAAAAACGAGTTTTATTTTTAATACATTTAAAGGATATCTTGGTCTTTGTCTAATTGTTAATAAAAGACAAGGATACAACCCAGCCTGACGTGATCTAAACGCTTCTCTGCCAATGGAATATAAACACAAGTTACTATGGTTTATTTTTTTCCAAGATAGATTTTGGCATTGTCAACTTTGAAACATAAACAATGCCGCTTATTGGTCACTATTGTAAAACTGATGTCAACCTCCAGAAACACCTCATTTTGCGACCAATCAGGGTCAAGCGTTATTGTTTATGTTTCAAAGTTTTCAATGTCAAAATCTATCTTGGGAAAAAATAAAGTGTAGTTTCGACTTGACAAATCAACATGAGCTAGACAAAGATAGGCATATCGTGTGAAGGCATGTTTACATTCAATAATGTAATTAATGATTTCTGGCTCTCAGACCAAGGGAAATTTTTATACGAGCCAGCAAAAAGGTGTAAAGTGCAAAAAGTAAGTAATAAAAATCATTCAAATACCAAAAAGCCATATACAAAAAAAAAGTGAGGTTATGATGTACGAATCAATGATTTTCCTAATATTTTAATTAATAATTATTAACTTACATCGTCTGGTCCTGAATCGGAGTCGCTGGACTCTTCCTTTCTGGATTTTTTCGGCATCTTATTACAAATTGGACGATTTTAATTTAAATTAAACTGGATTTGAAATCAAATGAACAAGTCCCAACAACAAAATGGCGAATGAATGAATACCGGTAGAGGGCAGAAATGTCACTTGTTGATGTTTTGTTCTTTTATCCTTGTTCTCCTCATCACAAACAAAAAAGACGGAACATACTCCGAACGCTCAGTGTTTCAAAACGAATTCACGGCTGTGACACTCCCATCTAATTTGACATGTTTCCATATAAGGAAAACATAACCACTGATTTTTTATTTGGTGGTAGAGTCATAATTATTATAAAAAGTGCTCCAAAAACCGTGAAAAGATAAACCCAATTTCACACTTCCGTAGTTCCTTTGCTTGTTAATTAATTTCGGCAAGTTTTAATTAGTTAAACCGGATTTCTATTATAGAGAAAAAAATGTCCTACGCTTGCAGTAAGTAATTGAAAGTTTTCCTATTAAATTTACTTAATACATTTTCTAGAAAATATTTACTCTACACTGCCAAAAACCCAAAGAGGCCAACCCCTTGTCTTGGGCGCAGACCCAAAGGGCAAAAATTTCATCTACACTAATGGCAATTCTGTAATTATAAGAAATATAACGGTAAAAAACTTTCAAATTCAATCAATAGCAAAAATCATGCCATTGAAATATTTTAGAATCCTGCTATTGCCGATGTCTACACAGAACACTCTTGCCATGTTAATGTTGCCAAATACTCACCAAGCGGATTTTATATTGCTTCAGGAGGTAATTAATTAATAATAACAAGTCTCTTTATAACTGTAATTATTCTAGATCAATCTGGCAAAATCCGTATATGGGACACAGTGAACAAAGAGCACATCCTCAAAAACGAGTTTCATCCTTTCGGGGGGCCCATCAAAGACATTTCTTGGTCCCCGGACAACCAGCGTATGGTGGCTGTAGGCGAGGGCCGTGAAAAGTTTGGACATGTTTTTATGTCTGAAACTGGTACTTCGGTTGGGGAGATTTCTGGTCAATCCAAACCGATTAATTCTTGTGACTTTAGGCCTGCTAGGCCTTTCAGGATTATTACTGGCAGTGAGGATAATACTATTGGGATTTTTGAAGGGCCACCTTTCAAGTTTAAGAAAACCAAACAGGTAAGAATTATTGTCTTTGAGATGTAGGTATTCATTAAGATGACTAATAAAGATTTTGTTGATTGTGTATTAAATGTTCATCTGCTACTAATAATATTTATTTATTTATTAATCTACTTTTGAACCGGTTTATTTTATTTTATAAAAGATTATTGTGAGGATTTTTCAGTTTTTTTCCAACATCAAGCTAAAAAAAAAATTCCTAATTTTGTAACTTTTGTGTCCTTTGCTCAATTGCTTTGAATTTTTTGTCTAACCTGCTCTAATACCTTATAAAAGATAGCAGAAAATTTCAGATTTATGGCTTTTATAGTTTTTGAGAAATTCCCCCCTTTATGTAAGATTGTCATACTTATTTCATTCCTTCAAAAACTATGTATTTGTGTAAATCACTTTGTAACTTTTGTGTCCTTTGTTCAATTGGTTTGAATTTTTGGTATATCCTGCTGTAACGTCTCATAAAGTATACCAGAAAAATTAATATTTGTGGCTTTTATAGTTTTTGAGGAATTGGTCCATTTAAGTATGTAGTATGTAGTCCAAAAACTATGTACTTGTATGAATTACTTTGTAACTTTTGTGTCCTTTGTTCAATTGATTTTAATTTTTGGAATATCCAGCTCTAATATCCTATAAAGGATTCCAGAAAATTTCATATTTGTGGTTTTTAAAGTTTTTGAGAAATTAGTTCATTTATGGAAGGTTGTCATATTTCATACCTTCAAAAACTATGTATTTGTGTAAATCACTTTATAACCTCTGTGTCCTTTGTTCAATTGCTTTGAATTTTTGGTGTATCCTGCTCTAATGCATCATACAGGATTCCACAAAATTTCATTTTTGTGGCTTCTATAGATTTTGAGAAATTACCCTGTTTATGTAAGGTTGTCATATTTCTTTCGCCAAAAACTATGTATTTGTATAAATCACTTTGTAACTTTTGTGTCCTTTGTTCAATTCAATTGATTTAAATTTTTGGTATATCCAGCTCTAATGTCTTATAAAGGATTCCAAAAAATTTTATATTTGTGGCTTTCATAGTTTTTGAGAAATTAGTCCTGTGTAAATCACTTTGTAATTTTTGTGTCCTTGGTCCAATTGATTTTAATTTTTAGTATATCTAGCTCTGATACCTTATAAAAGATTCCAGGTAGGGTAATTTTTGAGAAATTTGTTTATAAATCTAGTTTTGTGTTGTATGTTGGACATTCATTTTCATTAAAGAAATTCTCCCAAAATTACACTTCATGATTTGGGTACAGGTCCAAATTTAAAAAATTCAAAACAATAATGTTTTTGTAGGCTCATTTCCAAAATTCTTCATGTTGTTATTTTCCACTGGAAAAATTTGATATTTTGGGAAAATGAGCTCCTAATCTTCCTCTTCATATGCAAAAAGTTTCAATTTTTTTCCTTCACTAGTTTTCCAGGAAAACTGTGTGAGACTGTATTTTCAATTAATTCAGTTATTGTAGGTTGATTTCCAAGATTCTTCATGTTGTTATTTTCCACTGGAAAAATTTAAAATTTTGGAAAAATGAGCTTTCCACCTTCCTCTTTACATGTAAAAAGTTTCAAAATTTTCCCTTGACTAGTTTTTTAAGAAAACTTTGAAATGTGTGAGAGTGTATTTTCAATTAATTCAGTTATTGTAGGTTGATTTCCAAGAATCCTCATATTGTTATTATCTACTTAAAAATTTTGAAATTTTGGGAGAATGAGCTTCTAACCTTCCTCTTCTCTTGCAAAAATTTTCAATTTTTTCCAGGGGGTAAACCACCTAGGAATTATTGTCACCAGCCTGGGAGAATATGTGGTAATATGGGGAAATATAAGGAAATACATTGCAATATGAGAAAATATCTGGGGATTATTAGGAAATATGCGGGTAATATTAGGAAATATTAAGGTATTATTGAGAAATATTTTTAGGAAATATTGGGAAATTATTAAAGCATGTAACGTTATGACGATCAGACCCAAACATTCACGATGCCAGTTTTGTAAATAAACTTTAGTATTTGTAAATAACTTGATAAATAAACTCCTAAGTCTTATTTATATGGACTTGTTTTTTGATATCGAAATCAGTAATGAAGTCACTATTCTTGTCAACAGGGTTTCCAAATAGAATTCTATAAAAGTTTATGGAATTTTCCAGAAAATCCACTTCTGAGTTGGTTTTTCGATGTCGAAGCCAGTAATAGTGTTACTAAACTTGTATTAGGTACTTACGCTTTCCAAATAGGATTTTATAGAAGTTTATGGAATTTTCCAAAAAATTCGTTTGTGAGCATGTTTTTAGATGTCAAACCTGGAAGTCACTATTTCATTTCAATGAAAGTTCACTGATCGTTCGAATTCGGAATTCCTAAATAAGACGCGCTGCCCGACTTAAACAAGTAATTTCCTCAGAATTTTTGCCAAGTTGTTGATGCATTTTCGTAAAAATAATAAAGGAAATACAGGGAAGTATTGGGAAATTATCAGAAATTATGGAGGAATTATGTTAAATATTAGAGAATTACCGGAATTATAAGACATTATAGGAATTATAAGGCAATATTGCGAATTACTGAAAAATATAAGAAATATTTGGGAAATAATTCGCCTAATGGGAAATATATGTCAAAAATCTCAGGAGTGGTTTACCTCTTGAACTTTTCCTTCCACTAGATTTCCAGGAAAAATTTGAAATGTGTGAGATGGTATTATCAACTAATTCAGTTTTTGACAGGTGGATTTCCAAGATTCTTCATGTTGTTATTTTCCACTGAAAAAATTTGAAATTTTGGGAAAATGAGCTTCTTACCTTCCTCTTTACATGCAAAAAGTTTCAAAATTTTCCCTCCACTAGTTTTCCAGGAAAGCTTTGAATTGTGTAAACATTATTTTTTATTAATTCAGTTATTGTAGGTTAATTTCTAAGATTCTTCATGTTGTTATTTTCCACTGGAAAAATTTGAAATTTTGGGAAAATGAGCTTCTCATCTTCCTCTTTACATACAAAAAGTTTCAAATTTTTGCTTCCACTAGTTTTTCAGGAAAACTTTGAATTGTGTAAGACAGTATTTTTAATTAATCTAATTATTGTTGGTTGATTTCCAAGATTCTTCGTGTTGTTATTTTTCACTGGAAAAATTTGAAATTTTGAGAAAATGAGCTTCTCCCCTTCCTCTTAAAAGTTTCAAAATTTTCCCTCCACTAGTTTTCCAGGAAAACTTTGAATTGTGTGAAACAGTATTTTTAGTTAATTCAATTATTGTAAGTTGATTTCCAAGATTCTTCATGTTGTTATTTTCCACTGGAAAAATTTGAAATTTTGAGAAAATAAGCTTCTCCCCTTCCTCTTAACATGCAAAAAGTTTCAAAATTTTCCTGTCACTAGTTTTCCAGAAAAACTTTGAATTGTGTGAAACAGTATTTTTAGCTAATTCAATTATTGTAAATTGATTTCCAAGATTCTTCATGTTGTTATTTTCCACTGAAAAAATTTGAGATTTTGGGAAAATGAGCCTCTAACCTTCCTTTTCACATGTAAAAAGTTTCAAAATTTTCCCCTAATTAGTTTTTCAGAAAAACTTTGAATTGTGTGAGATTGCATTAACAATTGTTTCAGTTTTTGTAACTAGATTTCCAAGATTTTTCATGTTGTTATTTTTCACTTGAAAAATTTGAAATTTTGGGAAAATGAGCTTCTCTCCTTCCTCTTAACATGCAAAAAATTTCAAAATTTTCGCTCCACTAGTTTTCCAAGAAAACTTTGAATTGTGTTAGACTGTATTAACAATTATTTAAATTTTTGTGAGTTGATTTCTATGATTTTTCATGTTGTTACTTTCCAATAGAAAAATTTGAAATTATGGGCAAATGAGCCTCTACCTCTTCAGATGTAAAAAGTTTCAAATTTTTCCAATCACTAGTTTTCCAGAAAAACTTTGAAATGTGTCAGATAGTATTTTCAACCAATTCAGTTTTTGTAGGATGATTTCCAAGTGACGTAAACGTAAAATCAATAAAATTACGTTATTGGTCCTAGAATTATAAACACGTATGTCGAAGTAGTAAGTAGTAGAGATTTCACAATTATTAGGGAAACCAGGGATGTGCGATTTAAATGTGTCTTTCTTTATTTTGAAAAATAGAAAGAGAAAGCATGGAAGATTACGTAAAATTACCGGTAATTTTACCGAAATTTATTTTACCAGTAAATTTGCAACTCTAGGCATCAAGTTGAAAGAAAGTTCCTAACATTGCTTCTGGGCTCAAGATCAACTTCAGATGTATTTTTCCTTAGAAAAGAGTCTCTCTTCTATAAATCCTGTAAGTTTCAAGTCGCTATGCTATGATAACTGGAAATATTTTTCAAAGATTATTTTATGATTTTTCTAGCTTTTTTCAAGCATTAAGTTAAAAGAAAATTCCTCACTTTGCTTCTGGGCTCAAGATCCACTTCTGATTTATTTTTTCTCATGAAAAATGTCTATCTTATAAATCCTGTAAGTTCTAAGTCTCGTTTCAAATCATTGTGATAGCTGCAATTATTTTTTTGTGGCAAAAATGCAATTTTTAATTTCTTTAGTGAAATATAGGCTTCCAATATCTAAAAATGTCCTCTGTTGCTGGAAATGTGTTTATATGTGGCCACTAAAAATATTATTGAAAATTTGGTAACAGACACAAATAAAACGTTAAAGATTTTGGTCCACCCACCCACACAATGTTTTCTGGCTTGGTGACATATTAATAGAACTAAATGATATACATATTTCCAGCTATATAACATATCTAATGTGCAAAAACTTTCTGAAATATTTTCACAATTACTTCTAGTGAAAGAAATTTAGAATTAGGGCTATAATAAGCTGAAATTCAGTGCAGATTATTCTGACCATTGACCGCTACGAGGGGTGTCTCATGCTCTTAAATTTTGAACACCTATTTTCTTTTTGGAAATGTTTTCTTAATATTGTCCATGATTTCTGAAATTTCCTAAATATTCAGAATGTTTTCAAGTATTTCCTGAATAATTTATGGAATTTCCTGAATAATTTCCTAAATTTCCCGAATATTTACTGATTTCCTATGAAATTTCTGACATTTCTGAAAAAAAAAACTGATTTTTTCAAATTTTTTGAGAGATTTTTCATTTTTCAGTCTCACACAATTCAAAGTCCCCTGAAAAACTAGTTCAGGGAATGATTGAAACTTTTTGTGTGTGAAGAAGAAGGCTAGGAGGTCATTTTCCCAAAATTTCAAATTTTTCCAGGGGAAAATGAAAATAACAACATGAAATCAACTTAGAAAAGTGAATTAATTGAAGATACAATTTCATACATTTCAAAGTTTTCCTGGAAAACTAATTAAGGAAAAAATTTGAAACTTTTCGCATGTAGAGAGAACGGTGAGAAGCTCATTTTCCCAAAATTTCAATTTTTTCCAGTGGAAAATAACAACATGAGGAATATTAGAAATCAACCTACAATAACTAAATTAATTGAAAATACCGTCTCACATATTCCAGAGTTTTCCTGGAAAACTAGAGAAGGGAAAATTTTGAAACTTTTTGCATCTAAAGAGGAAGGTGAGACGCTCATTTTCTCAAAATTTCAAATTTTTCCAGTAGAAAACAGCAACATGAAAAATCTTGGAAGTCAACTTACAAAAACTGAGTTAGTTGAAAATACAGTCTCACATGTTTCAGAGTTTTCGTGGAAAACTAGTGAAGGGAAAATTTTGAAACTTTTTGCATGTAATGAAAAAGGTGAGGAGCTCATTTTCCCAAAATTTCAATTTTTTCCTGTGGAAAATAACAACATGAGGAATATTGGAAATCAACCTACAATAACTGGATTAATTGAAAATACAGTCTCACATAATAATTATTTCAGAGTTTTTCTGGAAAACTATTGAAGGGAAAATTTTGAAACTTTTTGCATGTAAAGCTGAAGGTGAGAAGCTCATTTTCCCAAAATTTAATTTTTTTCCAGTGGAAAATAACAACATGAGGAATATCGGAAATCAACCTACAATAACTGAATTAATTGAAAATACAGTCTCATATATTTCAAAGTTTTCCTGGAAAACTAGTGAAAAGAAAATTTTGGAACTTTTTGCATGTAGACAGGAAGGTGAGACGCTCATTTTCCCAAAATTTCAAATATTGCCAGTAGAAAACAGCAACATGAAAAATCTTGGAAGTCAACCTACAAAAACTGAGTTAGTTGAAAATACAGTCTCACACATTTCAAAGTTTTCCTAGAAAACTAGTAAAGGGAAAATTTTGAAACTTTTCGCATGTAAAGAAGAAGGTGAAAAGCTCATTTTCCCAAAATTTCAATTTTTTTCTGGTAGAAAATAACATGAGGAATATTGGAAATCAACCTACGATAACTGAATTAATTGAAAATACAGTCTCACATATTTCAGAGTTTTCCTGGAAAACTAGTGAAGGGAAAATTTTGAAACTTTTTGCATGTAAAGAAGAAAGTGAGAAGCTCATTTTCCCAAAATTTAAATTTTTTCCAGTGGAAAATTACAACATGAGGAATGTTGGAAATCAACCTACAATAACTGAATTAATTGAAAATACAGTATCTTATATTTCAGAGTTTCCCTGGAAAACTAGTGAAAGGAAAATTTTGAAACTTTTTGCATGTAAAGAAGAAAGTGAGAAGCTCATTTTCCCAAAATTTAAATTTTTTCCAGTGGAAAATTACAACATGAGGAATGTTGGAAATCAACCTACAATAACTGAATTAATTGAAAATACAGTATCTTATATTTCAGAGTTTCCCTGGGAAAATTTTGAAACTTTTTGCATGTAGAGAGGAAAGTGAGATGCTCATTTTCCCAAAATTTCAAATTTTTCCAGTAAAAAACAGCAACATGAGAAATCTTGGAAGTCAACCTACACAAACTGAATTAGTTGAAAATACAGTCTCACACATTTCAGAGTTTTTCTGTAAAACTAGTACAGACAGGGAAAATTTTGAAACTTTCTGCATTTTATGAGGAAGGTTAAAAGCTCACTTTCCCAAAATTTTATATTTTTTCCAGTAGAAAATAACAACATGAAGCTTGACATCTATAGTTTAAGAAATGTGTTTATACATAGGTACCTACCTACTTAAGGTATTATAAACAATATTCGAAACACAAAGATTTCTAGTAAAAATTTCCTAATTTCCTATAATAATTTCAGTAAATTTTCTAGAATTTCGAAAAATTTCCCAATATTACGAATAAATAATTTCCTATAATTTCTGGGAATTAACATAATTTGTGACAATTTACAGGAAATTTCTGTAAAAATAAGATTTGAATCAAAACCAAAGGATTCAAATTTTCTGACAAGCACAGCATGTCAGTATACACAACATCCATCTGAGATTCAATCTCCAAATGACTGACTGCTTACATTTCAGAAAAAATACTGAGATTAATGACAGTTGACCTATTTTTACAGAAGCCATGGTGCTGAAGAATAATTACTCTTTGCAGCGCACCTACTGACTAATTTTAGTATGTATAATTCTCTCAAAAATCTTTGACAGTGTTGGCAAAACAGTCGCAGGACGATAATTCTCAATGAGACGTGTATTTCCATTCTTGTGAATCGGTGTTATACGACCAATCTTCAAATGATCAGGAAAACATGGTATTCAGAGATTTGTTAACTAGAATTTGTGGAGGGATCTGTAAAATATGTTGATGGTTGCTGCAATATTTTGATTTCCTAGCCTGTATATGATATTTATTATTTCATGAAACTTTTATGCACTCTCAATTATATTTGTTGCTTTTCAAAAACAATCAAGCCTGCATAATATTGAAAAATCCTTTCCAGGAACATTCTCGTTTTGTCCAAGCCGTCCGCTACTCACCCTCAGGCAACCTATTCGCTTCAGCCGGCTTCGACGGTAAAGTGTTCCTTTACGATGGCGCCTCTTCAGATTTGGTGGGCGAAATCGGCAACCCCGCTCATTCCGGAGGCGTTTACGGAGTAGCCTGGAGCCCTGACGGCAAGCAATTGCTTACCGCCAGCGGAGATAAGACTGCTAAACTTTGGGACGTTGAAACCCGACAGGTTGTTACAGAGTTTAAGTTGGGCGACAATGTTGAAGACCAGCAAGTTTCTTGTTTGTGGCAAGGCGAACACTTGTTGACAGTTTCTTTGAGTGGGTTTATTAATTATTTGGATGTAAATAATCCTGAGAAACCTTTGAGAATTGTCAAGGGTCATAATAAGCCTATTACTGTGCTGACTTTGAGCGAGGATAGGGGGACTATTTTTACAGGCTCTCACGATGGAGTTGTTACTAGATGGAATACTGAAACTGGTGAAAATGATAAGGTGATAATCTGAGTTCAATTTGTTTGTGTATTTGTAATAATTTTTTGAGTAGATTGAAGGTGCTGGACACGGCAACCAAATAAACAGCATGAGAGTGCACGAAGGTACTCTATACACTGCTGGCATTGATGATAGTCTCAAGCAAATTGATATTGAAGGCAACACTTATAGGCAGCAAGATTTGAAGCTTGCTTCGCAGCCTAGAGGCATGGATATACTTAAGGGGGAAAATATTATTGTTGTTGCCAGTGTCAATGAAATCACTGTTGTGAAAGATAACAGGAAATTGAGCACTTTGAAAGTTAACTATGAGCCTACTAGTGTTAGTTGTTCGCCTAGAGGACATATCGCTATTGGAGGTTCAGTTGACAATAAGGTAATTCTGGAAATTTTTAGCTTTGAGAAAATTCCTTTAATGAAATTGTTTCAAAGATTTTTACCAAAATTCTACAGAAACGTTTAAGCTTTTACCTAAAATCCCTATTCACAGGTTCATATTTACGAATTAAAAAACGATAACTTGAACTTGATCAAAGAACTGGAACATTTGGGTGCAGTTACAGACGTCACTTATTCGCCCGATGATAAATATTTGGTCGCCAGTGATTCTCATAGAAAAGTAATTTTGTATGAGACTGAGGAGTATAAGGTAAAAACTGTAATATCTATACTTATTTAATAATTTGTTATAATAATTGAATTTGCCTACTCTTTGGATAACTACTAACAGATTGTAAGTAATTATTACTCCAATAAAACAATCGTTAATTTCTCTAAAATAATTCTAGCCTGCAACTAAACATGAATGGGGCTTCCATACAGCCAAAGTCAACTGTGTGGCATGGTCTCCTGATTCTTTATTGGTTGCCAGTGGATCTTTAGATACTAGCATTATTATTTGGTCTGTTGAAAAGCCCGCCAAACATATTATCATTAAAAGTAAGTATTTGTGTATAATTTTCAGTGATTACATTTTTATGTTTTGTAGATGCTCATGCTCAAAGTCAAATAACTAGAATAGCCTGGGTGGACAATACTACGGTTGTTTCGGTCGGACAAGATTGCAACACTAAATTGTGGACAATAACTCCATTTTAAATTATTATGTTTGCTTTTTTTCATATTTGGCTTTGCATTTATTAACTATTTTTTTACATTTTTTGTATTTAGGCACTAAACTTATTTATTTTTCAGTATTTTAAATGCTTTGATTCTCGTGTATTTCGCCTTGTAAAAAAAACCATCTAGTCTCTTCTAACAATTGATTATTATTCAATTTTGCCTACGGATTGTTGAATGTATTTTACTATTATCCTATATTATGTATAACAAAGTATTATCTTTATTTTATTTGTGGAATTATTGTTTTATTTGGTTTAAATTTGAAAATCCCGCTCCACTGAAACCAGCTTGAAGTTGCAACGAGTGTCAAAAAAGAAGAATTTCTTAAAAAAAGAAGAATACCAGACAAAAGCAAACTGAACATAACCTCTAAAAATTTCAGCAAAAACATAAACAAAAAAAATGTTTATTAATCCTTTAAAACCTAGAATAATTAAACCAAATTGTATATTTCCATTAACAAAATGCTTTGCCTCGTTATGTTCAAATACAAGCATTGCAAATATAGACTTTCCAGACGAAGACACAAAAATGCTAAAAGTTAGTATTATTGGGGTACCAAACTCAGGTAAAAGTACCTTTATAAACCAATTAATGGACAGAAAGGTAATTATAATTAATAATAATTATAGCAACAATATTAACAATTCATTTAAGGTTTGTCCAACTTCGTCAAAAGTCCACACAACAAAAACCAAATCGATGGCAATTTTTACACAAGGTGATTCTCAGATTGTCTTCCTCGATACTCCAGGGCTGGTTAATGCTAACGAAAAGAAGAAGTTCAATTTGACCAGTAGTTTTATTAAAGATTCTAGATTTGCATTGCAGAAGGCTGACATTATTGGAGTGGTTCACGATGCTGCAAATATTCACACTAGGGAAAAGTTGGATATTAAAATTATTAATTTGTTAGAGGGACATAAGAAGACTCCTAGTTTTCTTGTATTGAATAAGGTAAGGATGAGACATTTAAAATATCAATTTGTACTGAATTTCTCCCATTTGGCTTCTTGAAGGGGTCCTAACAGTTTTATCGTATTCTTAAAATAAGTGTATTAGAAAACCCCAAGGCTTTGAAAAGGATTTGTAAATAACTGTTACAGAGATCTTAGGGGTGGGCCCATGCAATCTTTAAAGAACTTCAGAAGGGTTCTTTAATGGTTTCTACAGCAAGTTGGCTTTATTCTAGGTTTTAAAGCAACTTTTAACATTTCTTTGAAGCTAAAATGTTACTTGGCTTTGGGGATTTTCTAGATTTTACCAAATATTTACCTGAAAGAAAATTCCCAACTTTGCTTCTGAACTCAAGATCCCCTTCTGATTTATTTCATCTCATCGAAAAATCTCTATATTTCATAAATTTTGTAGTTTCAAATCGCTGTTATGACTGGAGATATTTTTCAGGGATCATTTTGGGAATTTTTTAGTTTTCTTCAAGCATTAAGTTAAAAGAAAGTTACTAACTTTGCTTCTGGGATCTTCAATCAAGATCCAATTATGATTTATTTTCCCTTATAAAAGAGGCTGTATTTTATAAATCATGAAAGTTTTAAATCGCTGTGATGATTGGAACTATTTTTTTAACACGTTCACTACCGTTAAAGGGCTGTCACTTGTTATGGGCCAAGTATAATAACTTGTGGTGTTCCTATTTGAAAAAACGAAGTAAACTACATTATCCGAAAACCGGTAAACTTGGCAACATTGTCGATGTCATCATTGAATCAGGCATCATTAATTACCCACATGCAGAAAATTTCGTAATTCTATTTCTAGCCGCTATGGAAATATTTGACCGTTCCCAGACTTTTGAACAAAAAGGCTGTGTTGCAATATTTCAGGAACCGTGTAAAATAGAAACATGATATCAAGAGGTTTTAATAGCAATAGAGCGCCGAATTTATTGCAATAAAAATAAAGTGGTATCCCTATTTGAAAAAAATGAAGTTACCCACATTATCTGAAAACCGGTAAACTTGGCAACATTGTCGATGTCATCATTGAATCGGGCATCATTAATTACCCATATGTAGAAAATTTCGTAATTCTATTTCAAGCCGCTATGGAAATATTTAACCGTTCCCAGACTTTTGAAACACACTGTATATTATATTATAGGTCCGATGATGCTTGTATGAGCGAAACGGGCATACTTGAATTCGGCCACAAACCAGTTAGCTGCAGTAATCCTATCTTTGATTTGAATTCGACCAAATCATGAAACCCAACATACTTCCCGAGATACTTCCCATAAAACTTACCTTATGATGTTAACAGATTTCGCATTACATATGAGTTAATAAATCTAAAAAAATGTAAATATGTATTTTGATGCGCAAAATAAAAAGATCTACCAAAATGACTATGGAAAGATTCACAGGCATTTGTTTTCTTATCTAGGTCTATCGAGGCATGTGCCATGTGTCGATGAGATAATCTGAAAATTTAACTAGAACTTCGTGATTCGGCTGAATAGCTAACAACTCGAAAACAAACAAAATCGCTAACTTCTTGATTCTCCAAAAACATCATTCCGAAACAATTATGTAACGATTTACCGATTTCTGAATCTTTTTTTTTATATTCAATGTTTAAGCCTAAGTTTTGGATCTTTCTCTACCATGCCTGAAATTTTAGCTATTTATAAGAAGTAAATAAGTTGATTTAATATCTATATATCTCAGTGTACCGATATGCATATTGATAAATTTTCACCCTTTCCTTATTTCGGAACTAGTGAATTTTGTGGCTGAGTTCAAGGATCCCGGAGCTAAACACATGTCACTATTAAGTGAATCAAATAATAAACAGTCTGTGTGTTAATATGTGGCTTTTCAAATTATGTTTTTGCTTAAATTTTGCATTGCAAGTGTCACATTCAAATGGATAAATACCCGAATGTGTTGGTTTGTGTATCTCCAAATCGCGTTTCTGTTTAAATTTTGATTTGCAAATGTCCCATTCAAAAAAAATAAATATCCAAGTGTATCAATATGTGTTCCTTCAAATCGCCTTCTCTTTTCAATTTTGCATTGCAAATGTTACATTTGAAATTCTTCTCATCCGAGTGTGTTAATATGTGGCTTCTCAAACTACGTTTGTGTTCAAATTTTGCATTGCATGTGTCACATTTGAAAGGATAAATATCAGACTGTGTTAGTTTGTGTCTCTTTAAACAGTCTTTTCCTTTGAATTTTGCTTTGCAAATGTCACATTCAAAAAGATATCTATTGAAGTCAAACTGCCTTTTTTTTTAAATTTTGCTTTGCAAATGTTGCATTTAAAATTCTGATTCTGCTTCTAAAATGATAATTTAAACTGAAGTGCCCTTTTTCACGCATAAAAAAATTTATTCAATTGATTTTGACCCCCCCTACATATTTTTCTGCGGGCGCCCCTGGTTTTTTCCGAATATCTTCGGAATTTTTCTAATCATAGAACGGCATTATGTTAATCATAAAATTGCGCAATTTTGCCATAATTCAACCGACCCTGTATCTTTTACGGTTTCCGAGATCCCAATGATGAGGCTCGAATTTGGGCCACCCTGTACATGGATGACATTAAACTGTGAGCTTTACTTGTACTTCATATTTGATTTCCTGGCTTATTGATATTTGGTTTTCTCTCTCTCTCTCTAACGTTCCCTATCTCTGTCTTGTCTCTCAAGCTTGGCTGTCGGAAAAGTTTCCTTTGTTACTTTTCCTCCTGTCCTAGGAAAGGGGGAGTTGTGAGAATTTAATTTATGCGTAATTTTTTTTTTTTTCCTTCGCCAGCCTGTCCCTAAAAATGTATAGTCTCATTCGCCGAATATCAGGAAATAAATGAGAATGCTTATCTTCAGGATAGGTTAGCGAAGGAAAAAAATACGCATAAATTAAATTGTCACAGTATGTACCATCATCACCAAAAGTATCTGGGACAAAAATAATTCATATTAATCTCCTGGACTAAGTCTACTGTCATTCATTTCAATGCATTTAATACATAATTTGACACCTAAAATCATATAATAGTACAAGAGCTAACATGATGCTGTCCCAGTTACTTTTGGTGACGATGGTACATACATGGATGACATCAAACTGTAAGCTTTACTTGGACTTCATATTTGATTTCCTGGCGTATTGATGTTTGGTTTTCTCTCTCTCTAACGTTCCCTATCTCTGTCTTGTCTCTTAAGCTTGGCTGTCGGAAAAGTTTCCTCTGTTACTTTTCCTCCTGTCGTAGGAAAGGGGGAGTTGTGACAATTTAATTTATGCGTATTTACAGTGATGGTAACATTTTTTTCACGCTTTTTAGACAAACAAAATTCCCTAATTTTCCCTACCAGCCAGAAGAAAAAATCCCTACAATTTCCCCACGTTTTATTTTATTATGTTAGCTCATCTTTACACGTTATTCGTTTTCCTGTTTCAAGTTAGGACATAAAAAAAAAGAAGTATTCTGACGTAATGTGGGCGGCCTAAATGCAAACGCAAACAGATAAAGTAGGGATGTCTTCTAGTCACAGATCAGTCGGCAGGGCCTGCGAGTGACGTCACCACAGGCAGCATAGCAGCTTATAGTTGTGACGTCACCCGCAGGCCTCAATGGGATGTTTGCGATTCAGGTTGTGCTTGTTTTTTTTTAGATTTTAAATGTAGACAAGGCGATTTTAACAAAATTATAACTCTTAGGAATTCGTTTTTTTTGAACTATACTGTTTTAAAGTCGGGTATAGCAGTCCTATTAGATTAAGTGTTCTTGTCCTAGTCCTAACAGTATTTTCTCGTTAGCAGTTAGACCGATAATCGGAATTTGTATTTGACAAAATATTTCTTCGTTCTTTATTATACAATAAACGACTAATCTCCGAATTTCCCTACATTTTTCCAATTCTCGAATTTCTGTCCCTCTTCCCTACCCCAGAAAAAAAACATCAAATTTTCCCTACTTGTATAGGGAAGTTCCCTTCGTGTTACCATCACTGCGTTCTTATTTTTTTTTTCCTTCGCCAACCTATCCTTAAAAATGTATAGTCTCATTCGCCAAAGTATCAGGAAATAAATGAAAATACTTATCTTCAGGCTAGGTTAGCCAAGGAAAAAAATACGCATAAATTAAATTGTCACAGTATGTACTCTTCCCTATTTATTCATTATAACTTACTAGACTATCGTTTTCTGGGACCTAAAACCTGTTGAAATCTGAAGCCATTGATCACTAGTGAAATAAATAGGTCTAAAAATTACTCACAACATTGCTATTACAAATAAATAGCGTACCTACATAAAAAGTTATCAGTAGGGTAAAACTAAAGTATCTCACGACAGTCTAAACCCAGCCCAGCTAACCTTTCCTTATCGACGGGTGAACAAACCGCTCTATAAGTTTTTTTCAGTGTATGTCGGAAATAAAGGTGTCAAATGATAATTTGAAAACGGCATTTCCTTAATGTATTATAAATTATTGGGTAGACAATGAAAACTACTTTCTTGGTTGGATTGTGTGTTTCATTTTGGGGAAATGCGTAGGGACTTCTGGTTTTTCCGTCTCCACTGTTTAAAAGCTACCTAGAGCACGTAGACCCTTAACCACTATAATCCTAAGGGTGGCGCCCGAGTTTTTCGAAATCAACCGCTTTCTTCCTGGAAAACCAAAGTAGCTCTACAAATTTGGCGTGGGAGTTTTCATCGATGACTTGCGCAGGGCGCACCATTAAGCCTGGCGCCCTACAAGTTGGAAGAAAATTCCTAACTTTGCTCCTAGATTCAAGATCCATTTCTGGTTTATTTTACTTTATATAAAAAAATCCCTACCCCATTTATCCTGTGACTGAACTAAACATATAATCATACACCCTTTCAGATTGACGTTCTAAAATCTAAAAGAAAACTTCTAGACATCACAAGACTATTAACAGACAACTGTCTCGCTGGCAAACCAATCCCGGGCCATTCAAATAAGCCCAAAGATCCAAATCACGAATTCAAAGGTTGGCCCTATTTCCAAGACATTTTCATGGTCTCAGCTTTAACCGGTGATGGACTAGACCAAGTGAGGAACTACCTAACAACCAAAGCCAAACCGGCCAAATGGATGTTTCCAGAAAACGTGTGGACAGACCAGAGCGCCGAAGAAGTAATACAAAACAGTGTAAGGGCTAAATTATTGGACTTTTTGCCTCAAGAGATTCCGTACATTTTGCAAACCGAAATCGAGTTTTTCGATGTCAACGAAGAAGGCGTAATAAATGCTGTTGTTATTGTTAAAACCCCATCAAGCAGAATTTCAACTTTGGTAGCAGGCGGAGGTGGAGGCCGTTTAAAACAAATTCTACAAAGCGTAAAAGAAGATTTACAAAATGCTTTTCAGAATTATGTCAAGATAAATATTGTGCTTGAACCTCCAGCAAATACTATAAACTAATAATAAAGTTTAATGTGTATATTTTATTATTTCCTCAATAGTCTAATTTTGGACAAACAAAAAAAAAAACCGCCGGGTTACGAAACTTTCTGGCACCTGTTTGTTCTCCAGCAGGAACCGCTAATAATAGCCAGCCTGGATAATATCCAGCCTCTCAGTGCGTCAGTTTTTCCCTTATCATGCACACTAACCTCGCGAAAAATGTCCGATTATCAGCAATTCGTGCTCAAATGGCACTACCACGAAACCACCCTTGTGCAGAATTTGCCCTATTTGCTGGAAAACGATTTGCTGAGCGACTGCACTTTGTCGGTGGGAGCTCAGCACGTGAAGGCCCACAAAATTATACTTGCTATGTGCAGCGCTTATTTTCTTCAGCTTTTTCAGGTGAGTTGATTAAAATTGAGTTTATTTATATTGGCAAGGAGCTCTGGAGATAACCGGCCATGCTTTAGAGCTAAAAATATACCAGCGAAATTGCGATGGGTATTTTTAGACACTCAATAATGGTTTATTTACATGGTGTTAGTGTATTGAAATCAAAAAAGATTCAATTGAATACAGGGTTTTATTAGAGCTGAGTAAGTATTTTATACCTGAATTTTTCAAATTTTAATTATTCAATTTTTTCTTATTATCGGCTCTTGAATTTGCTGTTGTTTTTCTAGATGCAGAGGTAATCTGAAAATCAAGAGTTAACAACAATTTGAGTCAGTTTTCAAATATATTTTAATTAAATTCTCTATAAAACTATGGCACTTACGACTTCTGAGTTATTGTCTGTTGAACTTCAAAAGTTGAGTCAATAAAATAGGATTTTCTAAATTTTCTCCAAATTCCAGGAAATGAAAAACACTCAACATCCAGTTGTAGTGTTGCACAACGCAAGCATAGAAGACGTTAGAGCGATGCTGGCCTTCATGTACCGAGGTCAGTGCGTCGTGTCCAAAGACCAGCTACCGAATTTACTATCTATAGCTAAACTGCTCAAAATCCAAGGACTTTGTGATATGAAAGTGAGAATTTTAATTTGTGTATTTTATGTTTTTTGGAATTGTGCTTTTAGGTGCCTGAAAAAGATGCCTCCTCACCTATAACTGAAACCATTCCATTATTGCCACCATCACCAGATAATTATTGTGATAAAATTGTAGAAGAGAAAACAAAGCATGAAAGTTCTAATAATAATAGAAGTAGTATAGTGTTTAGGAGGCATAGCAGTGGAAGTAGTACAGCTATTAATTTATCTATAGATAGTAAAAGGATGAAGCTATCTCCAACAGCCTCACCTACATTGGAAAAACGATTACGAAGTAAATTATTTAATACATTTTCCAACTAAATACAAATTTGCTTTTAGAAACGCCAGAAATTCCAAGTCCACGTTCAATAGAGGATCAACCATTGGCATCCACAAAAAAACAAGACTCTTCTGAAACTTGCAAGTGCTTTTTGTGCGGCAAATATTTGAGCAATCAGTACAATTTAAGAGTCCACATGGAAACGCACGAAGAAGCTTTTCACGCTTGCCAATGTTGTCCTCATGTGTCTCGAAGTCGAGACGCATTAAGGAAACACGTGTCCTATCGACATCCCGAAGAATATCTAACGAGAAAACGAAAAAAGATGGATTAATACTTTGTTTGTTTCATGTTTTCTTTGAGACAACTAAGTATTTCTCATTTATAATGAGATTAATGGCAAAGGAGTTTAAAAAAAAAGACATAATGAGCAGTTGAACTGTGAATTATTTGTAAATAAAATAATAGAATTATTGTGATGAGTTTTTTTTTTAGATGGATTGAAAATTTTCTCTACACTTTTTTACTAAACTTTCAGTTATCATAATATTTACATTAACTTAACATCAAAAAAATTATCTCAAATCTATATAAACTTTACATAGTAGTAGATGTGTATTTATATATCTAAATTCATCAGTAATTCGAGAGACGTCGCTACTAACATTTAAAGAATAGCGTCCCGACGCCGTTCCGTTCATTTCCCCCAAAGAAAATCAATGGAAACCCCCATATTACGACGACCGAAAATTGCATTTACCCTCGGCCGTTTTCGGCCAAAATCATCTGGAAATTTAGGGGGGAAAATATTCCCCTTCGGAGTCAGTGTTTTACCGCTTAGCAAGCAAGCAGTTTTTTTTTCTTTTAGTTGAGAGTTTTATTTATTTTTGTTCAACGGGAAATACAAACATAACCCAGGTAAGAGAATATTCACATTTTATATGCAAAATAATTCCTGGATAAATTTATAGCCGTCCGAATAATTCAATGCTTTCGCATAGAGCGTGGCCTCACCGTCTATCTCCGTCCGCCACGACAATTTTGACTTTGGCGAGAACTCAATCCGAAGAATCTGGTATTGAGCCTGGACCGATTGCCACAATCACTGGATCGTTTGTTTCGTTTGGAGATCACGTGGCTCTTGATCATTACGACACTGATCATACTGATTTGGGTAGCGAGGCTGACGAAAATGAAGTGAAACGAGGATTGTTGAGAGATGTAAGTTGAGTTTGTTCATTAGTGAAAATTATCTTTCTGTTGATTTGATCTAATTCTGGAACTTGCTCGGAAGTTAGATGAATGTTTCTTTGTGACTTTTGCCAACCAACATCATTTTAGCAATGGAGACAATTCTTCGACCAATTCGATCCGGAAGGCTTCGGCGAAATACTATGGCCAGATTTCCTCGTTGTGATGGACCAACAAGAGTTCAGAGACAGAGTCAACACCGGAAAACGTCAAATATTACTGGAAAAATCTCGTACCGCCACTACGCCAGCAATAACTTTCCAGGATTTCGTCAATGTGGTAAGTGATTTTTCTTTTCCATCTGATTTAAGGCCTGTTTTACATAAAAAGGCACGGGACAATGTGCGTCAGCAATATATAAATATTTTCCTGGCTTATAAGACACAGTTAAATTATAATTAAGCAAACGTAAACGCGTCCTTTGCAACCTCGGAGTTATTGATAATAAATCTTTACAGAAAATAGTCTCTTATGATCAATATTTACTTTGACATCAAGGCTGTAGATGAAAAAATGAAATTTCTGGATGCCACAGGATGACCATCTTGGAGTAAGCATGTTTCCAAGCCATCTTTTGAAGCATCTGTCTCTATTTCAATTGATTTATTCGAGTTGAAAAATGTTAAAATCGGGGCTGAAGTCAGCAAGTGTTTCAAACGTCTTATTGAGTCTTCATGTAAATTAGTCTACTCCCGAATAACGTGTTGTCTAGTCAATTTTCTTAAAGGGGCAGTAATTTTAGCCATGTTTGGAACAAATTTACCTAAAAATTTGGCCATGCCTAGAAGCCTCAATAAATCAGTTTTATTATTTGGCGTCGGCATTTCCATTAGCTTCAACATAAGTTTTCTCATAATTTTTTTAATAAAATACTTCTGGAACTGAGCATAAACCAAAAGGTAATCTGCAAAATTGAAATCTGCCAAATGGTGTTCTAAATATACAGTAATCTGCACTATATATATATAACTTTCCAATCAATCCACACTGACCAAATATATATATATATATATATATATATATATATATATATATTCAACGACGTCAAATGGACGCTTCATAGACGTCCTAATACAGGGTATTTTCTCTGAATGGGTCATATCAGGTTTTACATGGTAACTTTTGAACCTGCTGGTTCATGTCATTGGCAAATAAACTTCCACAGTGGAAGTTCCACTACGTGACGTTCCAAGCAAGTCATATTTTGCAACCTCTCTCCGACGTCAGTCATTACAGTGCGCCCGTGCAGGGCGCGAGTCATTATTGTGCGACGCAGGGTGCCAGTTATTAGAGTGCGCCCGCAGGGCGCCAGTCATTAGAGTGCGCCCGCAGGGCGCTAGTCATTACAGTGCGACCGCAGGGCGCGAGTCATTACAGTGCGCCCGCAAGGCGCGAGTCATTACAGTGCGCCCGCAAGGCGCGAGTCATTACAGTGCGCCCGCAAGGCGCGAGTCATTACAGTGCGCCCCTCGGGCGCAAGTCATTATGACCAGTAATTATGATATCATCAAAATATATGCTAATGCCTTTAACATCTCCAAAAATCTCAAATTTTTTATGAAATACTTCTGGAGCTGAGCTTGAACCAAAAGGTAATCTGCAAATTTGAAATCTGCCAAATGGTGTGCTAAATGTATAGTAATCTGCACTTTGTTCATCAATTTTGACTTGAAGATATACCCATCCTTCATATCTAGTAGATCCTATGAAAAATGCTTTATCACACAATTGTACAGAAATTTCATCAGCTGTTGGTAATATGCAGTGGTCTGGCTTTACAACCACATAGATTAAGATATTTTGGGTCCAGATAGAGTCGTAAGTCTTTTAATTTTTTTTCTCAGCAATTACAGCTATTCAGTAGGTCTATCAACTTTTAGAATTATTCCTTGACTTTCTAATTGTTCTAACTTAATTTTTAATCTGTCACGTATGAGATGAGGAACTCTTATGAGGGGCTGAATACATGGTATTGCATTTTCTTTTAATGTAATGTGATGATCATTCGGAAACTTACCATCAAAAACATTTGGGTACAACTTTACTAGATCTTCTATCGTGTACACTTGACAAGGCTGACAAATAACGTTTTAATAATAACTACATAATAATATAAGACAACACTTATTCTAATATCACACAAAAATTATCAGTGCGCCCGCAGGGCGCAAGTCATCGATGAAAACTCCCACGTCATACATTCGTGCCCATAAGGCACAAATAAAATTGAATGTCCCCCATAAACTATCTGTAAGATAAATTTACAATTTTCAGATCTATAATTCTGTTAGTTTAGTTGACCAATGGTATTACATATTGTGTTTTTATCCGCCAGATTGCATTACCTGACAGTTTATTAAAAAGTGAATAAACCGGCTTTGATATGTATTAAGAGGCTCTTGAAGAGCCGGGTATAGACAAAAATTTGAGAATTGAAAAGCAAATATCAGGGGAAATAAAGTACCTAAACTGTAGCTATATGTTGTTTCTATTCCAGGCTCTTGAATTTTCTTTATATAGAAATATTTAGAAGGAACAATTCAAGAGCCGGGAATAGACAAAAATTTAGTCGGAAAAATTCAGAAATTTAAAAAAAAAAATCTTAAAAGCAGAAGTAAACCATCACTCAACTATTTCACAAATTCAATGGGTTTGCCTAGGTATTCTCTGATATATAAGGTGCTCGGCTTGCTCATTCCGTGCACTCCGAGTGACTCCATTCGCACTCCAGCGGTTCGGGTATTGCTTTTTACCGTATTAGGGGTGACTCCATTAGCTCTGTTCATTTCACTCTAACTCCGCGCTGAATAGCTGAACCCAGCTAAAATAAAAAGCTTAAGCTTCCGCAAATAAACTGCTGGACACTTGAACTTACACATACAGATTTTTAGGCAAAATTCAAAGTTTCATATTTTCGACAAAAATAAAGTTGAACTTCGTTGACCAGTCAGAAACAACTACTCCGAGGGCAAATACCCCTACCGGCGTTGAACTACACTGATTGGTCTGAGCTTTCGTTGGCAATGAAAATTGTTAGAAAGATTTTTTCAGGTAATGACCAACGTGAATACAGGGACACAACTGTCCCTGTATTCACGTTGGTCATTACCTGAAAAAATCTTTCTAACAAAAATAAAGTTGGTAACAAACCATATTGTAATGACCGAAATGACACAAATACAAACATTTCGATTTTTTACATCACCTATACTCTTTATCCGGAAGAAACAGGCTATTAAACTGCACAAACCACATTAAAAAAACTTTATTTTTGTCGAAAATATGAAACTTTGAATTTTGCCTAAAAATCTGTATGTGTAAGTTCGAGTGTCCAGCAGTTTAGTTTGGAGCAGAAAGATTTCCTGAATGAACTTCCAAATAAGGATGAGATTGATTAATCCGCCGACAAACTGCATGAACCAGGGATAAAGTTAATCCTTAAGGAATTTAGAGGCACTGGGATCTGATTCTCGAAACCAAGGAGCAGATTTTCTATGAGAACAGGTGCCCTGTCCTTCTCAGGTCCATGTCATATCTCATATGGGTGATGAAGACAGAAAATTTGTTCACATGAAAATGCTGTTGCCTTGTTTCGAGAATCAGGTTCCTGGAGTTCGATTTTCATCTTAGGAAGTAGAGTTCCTCGAGAGAAAAAAAATTTCGTCTTTAGCATTCTCGTTTACTTTTCATGTTGACAAGGACAAAACATTGGTTCTATCGGGGAGCTCTACTCCCTAAGACGAGAATCGGGCTTCAGGTCGCGGATGAGGCAGGTGAATGAGAAAAAGCCTAGAAAGGCTGTAATGACCTTAACTATCATGATTTTTTGCCTTCTGGGACTGGAACAGTCCTATGTTTGGAGGTATTCCGAAGAAAACAATTCAAGGTCAGGGAATAGACAAACATTTGAGAATAGACCTTTTCAAATTAGAATAATTCTTTTGCGCATGCGCAAAACATTGTTGCCAAGTGTCGGTTTCTATCACGCTATACAGGAAAGAATCATGAATAATTTCGATTTCATTAGAACTGAGATTCAAATTCTTTATTATTAATTAACCTTATATTTGATGCAGTCAAAGACTCAAGCTATTGATTGAAGAGATATATTGATGGTCATTTTGTAAAGTTTTTTTTTTTAACCTAACGCGCTTGAATTTGTACAAGCCGGCAAGATCGCACAATTTCACTGTCATTTCTTCGAACAGCTGATTATTGTTTTGCGGTCCATGTTACACGTTTATGCATAGGCAAATATAGGAAAAACCTATTTAAAAATTAGTAAAAGCGATGGGGCACACTCGAGCTTCTCGAGCGTGATAGGACATTTCCTTGCGAGTGCGCATATCCGTAAAAAAAAAAAAAAAAAAAAAAATGGTTTTGAGGCTAGTACGAAAACATGAACGCCGCGTAACGAACTATCACGTTGAAAATTCGTACATGACCACATGTCCTTCCAATAGGCCGGCATACACACACGTTATTTCGCGCGGTTTATCTTCTCATCTGCAAAAACCTGTGAAAAATCATGTGCGTGAGTTAGGAGGGCTGCGCGCAATGATAGAATGGGAAGGGATTTCAGACGTGCTTTCATCTGGAATGTGGCGTCAGTACTCAAGTACATGATAGTGCAGTTCACACCCGTATCCACACGCCATTCCACGTCACGATTTTGAGGTTAGTATGGAAACATGAACGCCGCGTTGCAAGCTATCACGTTGAATATTAGTACATGACAACATTCACTTCCAAACGACACGATAAATGACATTTTTTACCCATACAAATACGGTTTTTCCTTTCTAACTGATATGCCGCGCGTAATCACGTGCGAAATCATTTGAATACTTTGTCAAGTGTAGGAACATGACGCTTTTTTTGCCACGCCGTTCTTTCGCGCGTGCAAACCGCTACATCCCAACACGCCACGATAAACCGCGCGAAATAACGTGTATGTATGCCGACCTAATGATTTAGCATGTGTTTACGCGGGGCATATCAGTTTCAAAGGAAAAATCGTATGTGTGTGGGCAAAAAGTGTCATTTGAAAGTGCATGTGGTCGTGTACTAATTTTCAACGTGATAGTTTGCGACGTGGCGTGGCGTTCATGTTTTCGTACTAGCCTCAAAACCGTGACGTGGAAAGGCGTGTGAACTGCACTATCATCTACTTGAGTATTGACGCCACATTCCAGATGAAAGCACATGTGAAATCCCTTCCCATTCTATCATTGCGTGCAGCCTTCCTCACTCACGCACATGATTTTTTCCAGGTTTTT